CAAAGCCTTGTGTCTCCCATCTCCGCGTTCTTCCCTTTACGGAAAAACCCTTCTTCCTGTGGCGAGACACAGGAGTCACCTGAGATATGGCATAATATTCTGGGGAAATACATCTTAGCTCCCAGACATTTAGATTGTATTGAATTAGTGTATTTAGATTGAAATACATTGAGATTGAATTGAATCATGTATTTAGAATAATTGTACGAGCGAATCCCACCCACGTGATCTCTAAGACTCTTTATTAATCTTAAGTATTTACCATTACCTTACCTCTTGATATATGAATGAGTGTTTTTGGTCAAAAATGACTTAAGGACGGGAATATATTTTCAGCACACGCCGAAGTCTATAACCACAGCACTTGACGTAGTAATCATATTCATCAAGTGACAATATCAACAGTTCACTTCAAAATCTTCACATACGATTCATGTACATTATTTTCCAACATCTTACCAGATGATATTAAACGATTAAATTCGTTACAAAAGTTTATATCCCAAGTAAAATCTTTTCTGCTGCACAAATGTTTCTAAACAATTAGAGTCTCTACCGAACATCCAAAAGAAAAGTAATATTAATTTTAACAATGACATTTAATGTATTATTTACCATTTGGATTGTACAGTTCTAAAGAACCTGTAACAAGTATTGCACTTCAGTTGCTGGGTAAATGACCCCCATCTCGATCATGTTTTCGTCGAGTTTCCCTGATCTTTGAGAAAATGCTGAGATGGTTCTTTGTTTTCCTTCTGTACTTAAATGTAACTTCAAATTAACTTCTCCCCATCGAACGTCACACACACTTTTTAACTGTTTTTGCCGTAAATAAATAAAAAATAGTATGGTTTGTTCTATGTTCTGGTTTGGATATGGTTGTCAAATAATCTATTATTGAAAATTCTCCCTGAAATTTGGGCATGAGTTCACTATGACACTATCTTGGAGAAATTTGACTTAATAGAATGATGTTATGAATTAATTTCAAAAAATATTTTATCCTAGGTGATGATGAGGAAAATAATATTCTTGAAACTGTTGCTTAAATAAATTCATATTTACTTGAATTATTTAACTCCAACAATGATAGTCTCTTACACGGACTAGTCTCTCAAATACACGGACAAAGAATAAATAAAAGAAATTTGATTTACTTGATTCAAGTAATACTTTCGGCCGATATTTCACAATTACTAGGGCAGAATACTTCTTAACAGTGACAACATGCTTATTGTCTGTGTGATGGGGTGAATACATTTCAGGGGCGGGTGAGTCGTCATAAAGGAATGAATCAGTCAACAACGCCCCCACATGTCTGATTAATTCAAACTACTCTTTTCAGACACTTCCAATACTAATAACCACAAAGTGTGAACATTTCAGAGAAATCGGCCTAGTAGTTTTTTGCATCTATGTGTGACACATATTCTCTTACATAGGTACATTGATTCTCCTTGTGGAATACTTTATTTATTTGGTAGAAAAATAAGTATTGGTGTAAATAAAAGTGTTTCTGTATACGAGAATTATAGAAGGCCTTTTTTGTTGCAAGAAATCGTTTACAAACACCGGTTTTTTGTTACAATTGTCAAATACACATAACGTCATAATAAAGTGGTTTCGAAAAATTAACTTTAATTCTCTTATAAATTTTCAACTCTATTATACAAAAATAACGTTATATTACTTTTTAAACGTTGCTTTATTGCATTAGTACAAATCTGAAAAGTCTGCCCAAACGTTACTCGTTTTCAAAACATTTACTAAATCACTAAAATTAGGTTCTTAAACAAGACACATACTCAAAAATCCGCAGAACTTTGTTTTCGGCCCGGAAGCTGCAAGGTATGTAGGACCCAGTTTGCTTACGCATCTTGCATACAATGCCTACATCCTGTAAATAATATTTGTATTTCAAATTTTAGCTCTGAGGATGATCGCTATGCGATCGAAACGATCATAAGCTTGATACAAAAGTTATTGAATACAGACATCTTCATTTATCATAAAAACACTAAAGCATTGAAATGCACTCAAGTTGCTGAATGGAGCCGATGGGAAGCCGGGCGACGCGGGAGGCGCGTGTGCGGGGGAGGGCAGGGCGGCCAGCACCCGCCGGAGGCGCCCACGCGGGCGGCGCGCGCGTCAGAAGCGCCGGAGCTCGCGGCGCGAGGGGTCAAGTGGCGGGGCCACGGGGCGCGGCACCGCGAGCGGGCTCATGCGCTGCCGACGCTCTCTCAAGCTCTGGGCGAATGCAAGTGCTCCCCTTCTTAACAATAGATCATTCAGGTACTCCAGCAAATCCTTTTAAAATAATTATGTTCCAGCGTGTACAGCATAATGTGCTACATACTTCGAAATGAAAATAATTTAAAAGAGAAATTATAAAAATATTGTAAAAAAAAAGATTGTAAGTATTAATTTTAACTAGACCTTCCCTGACAAATCCTCAGTAATTATTTCTCTTTACAAATCTAAATTCAAATTAATTGTAAAAAAATATGTATTACATGTATGTAAATGTTCAAAACCTAAAAAGGCTAATAAGATCGAAAAAAAATAAAAATTTAACGTGGTGTAGAGTGACTTTCTTAGGCATGAGGGCGTCGCTCAACGGACGTCAGCAACGTGCGTCCGAACTGGTACGTGCGTTGCTTCATCGAGCACACGATGCGTCACAACGCGCGGCGTCGCAGAATTTTTTTGTAAGTAGTTGTGTTTGTAGTTGTAGTAAACAGACATGGATGACATAAAAACATTGCTAGAAAATAGAACATTCAGGTGGTGGGTTTACCAAAGAAATAGTGAACGATATTTATATAAGCTAAGTATCACACACTCTACGGTAGATTGCAAGAACACAATAATGTTTTGTCTCCCCGTTTGTTTTGCATTGGAAAGTGGAGTAAAAAATAACACGTATGTTCTTCAGAGTTGTTTTATAAATTTATTTTTATAAAGTGTCGAGTCTCTCAGAATCGGTTCCTTTAGCAGGTCTTCGAGTAATATGTCTGATCTATGTCTATTCTACTCACATCTCGATTGCGATACGTGTTAAGGTGTCGTCCGTCGCAACGCAATACGTGTGTCAACTCTAAATTGTCTATTGCAACTACAACGTGCGTTACACTAGTTACTGTGTTGAACGTGCGTTAAACTTGCGTTCTGTGACGTCCGTTGTCGGCTAGTGAACGTTAAAGTGCGTCCGTTGTCCCTTTTACTTTACAACGCACTATACATTCGTCATTTGACGCTCGTGTGCTATTAGCCTTACCAACGAAAGTTGGCCTTCAAAGTTCTGAGACGCGTAAATGTAATGATACTTTGTTTTCGTAGATAATTCAGAAGGTAGCATTTTTAGTTGATGGATATAAGGATATTTACTCACATCAAGTTTGAAACTTCGCTGACTTTCAAGCGGCGCAAAATGATAAGATTTCTGCCTGAAGATCCCTTTCCTCTCCTCTTTTGTTATAGACGTATCTTTCGACTTTTTATAGCTCTGCGTAACTCTGGGATTCTCTCTGCGCCCACATCCGCATGAGTCACGCGTTTTACCACTCGCGCTCGCAAACGCCTTGGCATCCACGAGTTTCCGACTCACATACAGATACTCACCTGCACTCTGTACTAGTGGCATAACATCACATCCCCAAATTGTCGTCTCTACAATCTATATAATATATTTATAAACTACTCTCTGCTTAATAAATTGAATCACGTAATGGTAAACGCTAAAGAAAAAAATGCGAAGCAATAGGGGAAAGAACACAGAAAACACTTCTTAATACGTTTTCCTGTCACTCAAATCCCACATCCCTTGGCTCAGACGCATTTGGAACACTCCGCAGTCGGCATTTTTTTGTAGTTGCTTAGTAGTAATAGTTTTTAGTAGTTTAATAGTTTTTTAGTAGTTGGATTCGCACAATGTGCTGTGGGACTCATTACAATATTATATCTATTTTAGTTTCTAACTAGCGAAATATCAGTAAGCTCCTAGATAATACTAGCCTTCAGATTTTAACTGGAAGTAAGCGACAGATTAACTTGCGATGAAAATAAAGATCATCTTCACGATTTCCAAATATGAATTGTGTGCCTTCAAATTAAAAGCAACGTTACCTACACATCCATGGAGCCTTTGTTCCTGTTTGTGAGGTCTACTAATGCCAGCTCACACGTTACGAAACTTCCTACAGTTGCGTCAGTTTCTATTAAGACATCCTAGTTAAAGACAGACGCGCGTCTACATGTTTTTTAATAGCTCTAACGTCATTTGACGATCTGTTTCTATCGGAGTGTGCGAATCACAAGCAGTAACTGTGGTCTGCAGTTCAATACTGATAATTATTGATATCTACGATTAAGATCTCTGCTGTGCTGTGAGCGCCTGTAATGGAAAAAAGATGTAGAAGAAACAAACCCAACGATGACCTTAAGTCCCGTAATGAAAGTCTTTCAAGGCTGCAGAGATTACTACTCAGTAATTCCCAACTGACGTCATGCCGTTGGCTGCCTCGTTTCTGTATGTGTTAAGCGTGTCAAATGGAAATCATTTCAAATAGTTATGAAAATATAATTATAAATATTTTAATGATTGTCAGCTGTGAAGCTTTCTCATTTTTGGTATCTTAAGTTAATAGAGATTCAATTATGAGTCCAAGTCAATACAGGAATTGTCCATTAAAAATCATTTTAAAGCAGATGAACAGCGTACTTTATTTTTGAAGTACGTTTCGTGAACACATGTATTCACCTCATCGGGTACATTAAAATATGTACATAAGACAGAAATTCTTTTACATGTAACAAAATAAAGTATATAAATAATAAAAATGAATAGGCACGTGCAAATACAAAAGCACCGAATGGAGATAAAGTTACCTTGTCACAATTTTTAAAATCCACATTTTTAGTCTGCCATGATGCCGGTAGGACGGTTCAAAGCCGAGTAGAGTGGTTGGGGCTAACAGAGGGCAGCTGAGGAATGGTACACAAGACCAACAGACGTTGGAAGCGAACGCAGGAGTAAGGCATTGTGGGATTGGCAAACAGAAGGAGGATATGCACTTGGGGGAATGGTGAACTGCAAAAAGGGCACATTAGCAAAAACAATTTATAGCTTATCGTGCAGGACAGTCACAAAATGTAGAGGTAATTCTGTTATTGTTATTATTGCCTTAAAATGCTTCAAAATTACATTTTATTTCTATTCTTGGTTGTAATATGTAAATTGTAGTGTTCTGCCACTAGGTTGTATTCCTACTTGCAGAAATATTAAATCTATCTATCCTTCTATCTATCTATTTAACTATCATAGTTCTCCATCTAAAATCAAAGGATTGTTGAAATAGAGCGCGTGTGACTACTGTAATCTGTGTTTAGAGATTATATTTAATTTGTCATTAATTTCTTTGGTGTTGTTTTGATGCTCGTACAAAACTCTGTACTCTTTTTTTCAGGTGTTCACTCATTTTTATCATTTATATACTTTTTGTTACTTGAAAAATAATTTATTTCTTACCTACTATTTTAATGTACATGATAAGAAGTGATGGTAGAAATCTTCACTTGAAATTTTAAATACTTTCATTTTAAAAATAAGGTTCTAGCATTTTATAGCACTATACAAATTAAGACTTAACATTTTGTAGCATTTGTTGAGAATATATGTGTATTATAGAAATTATTATCAAGTGAGGTATCTTTGAGATAAAAAATATTTTAATGCTCTTTAGATTTTTCCAATAAAAACAGGAAATCAGGAAAACCAATTTAAAATTTCGCCATTAGTGTACTGAAACAAAAATTTAAAGAAGAAATTTTAAATCTTTAGAATGACTTCTGTCGCTTATAGAACTACAGGTTTCAAAGGAGAGGAGAAGGATTGTCTTGCAATTTGTAAAACCTTATTAAAACAACAAAACATTCTTTTAAAAGGTCATATGTGCTGTGAAATGAAATCAATTTATATAAATAACTATTATTAATATGTAACACAAAATTAACAGAGAGCATATTTCAATGTTTGTTTCCTTGGATATATTTATTCTGTAGTAACAAATAATTTATGACTGAAACATCGTTCAGCTTCTACACTGTTTGCTACTATCAAATAAAATTCAAAACAAATTAAATGTTTTCATACATCAATGTGTTGTTGTCGATGTCGCATCCCTGGTTGGAGATAACCATAAAATGCAATTTAAAAGTTATATCGCAGATTCAAGATTATTTCGCCCCTTGTAGGTGATTTCCCAATTTGCGATCGATTTTTATCGCTGATTGAAAACCTTCAGAAATAATCAGAAGCTCTATTGTACCTACCGTCAAACATACAATTACAATACTAATTTTTCTTGGCGTTTGATAACATTTCGCATTTCTAGCAATTCCTAATAACTACCATTTCTGTTGACGAGATGATCACATCTGTTCACAAAACGTTTTACTTCATAAATAAAGTGCGCTGTTCAACTGTTTCAAAATTATTTTTAATTGACAACGTCTGTATTCACTTGGACTCTTAATTGATTGTCTATAAACATTAGATACCAAAAATCAGTTATGAAGAAAGTAACGTAACAGTAAAGTGTACGTATTCACGATATTGATATTTTTTGTGCACAATAGAAATCATAAATAATTTCAGAAAAAATTTGTTGCAGAAAATTTTTCACCTGTTTTAAAACATTTTTGGTGCGATTCTAATATCTTGTAATAATGTTGCAATGTTTTCAAAAGCATGTAATTTTTACGATTACGATTCAAAATTCACTTTTGCATTTTCCTCTTTCCAATTAACATTCATCGAGTTCGTAAGCTTCACCCATAGGCTTTGACGAGTGGAGCAAGTGATAAAAACGAATTATTTCCTTCAGAGATTAGGGCGAGAAAATATAAACTCAAAATAATTATCCCAACTTATTTGGAAGAATCGTTTTCCAATTTGTTGGGTGACCAGTCAAGAATTTAGCGCTTATTCCGGCTGTGGCGGTGCTCAGCTGGTGGGAGATACCTGGTTGGCTTAGAAGTTTACGCGCCCTAATTCAGAGGGATTTCTGCTTGTGGCCGCGGGTGTGTTATGGCCATAGTGTAACTATTGCCCTAGAAATTAAAATATAACCTTTTGAATTAACTGCTTCAGCCCTTCGAAGATAATACATTTTGCCTAGTTGCTGCACATGAATAGTTGTGGGTACCGGTCGGAGGGAACAAATATTGTAATTCAGAGAGCAGTTGAAATACATTTCCTTTCTGTGTGGAAAGCGATGAACCAGCAAGGCGGCGATTCCCGTTCATTGGTTCCCGATTCTCGACCCCCTCCTCGCCCCCGACTCCCTCCTCGCCCCAGCCACCCCCACCCCGCCCTGCTCGCCTCGCCTCGCCTCGTCGCGTCGCGCGAGGGCAAACCCCGCGAGGGATCGACAGATTGCTTTTTTGTCAATCGCCGCCCCCCGCTTCCCGCTTCCCGGCGCCGATCGCTTAAGAGAGGAGCCGACACGAGCGCGAGTTCTCTTTATTACCTCGAGGGGGCGCTCGCGCGGCCCGAGACGCTCAACCGCGCTCCTCGGCCACTTCAACACTCCGCAGGGGCCGCGCGTTTATCTCTTTTTCATGAATCACGCGGTGAAGCACGGCGTGGGATTATGCACAGTGGCGCCACGGCGAAGGCGCCCGTGACGAACGACGCCTTGGAGCCAAGACGCCGCCCCCGAGCGCCCTTGCTTCCTGCTCTTGAAGGAAACTAATAGCTTAAGACATGTGTGCATCGGGTACATTCTGGGCAACTTATTGACGTGCATACAGTGAAAGGAACACCAACCAGTTTCCATCTAATCATACATTACATAGCGAATAATAAAAACAATCTTATTATTTTTTATAACATCTTCCAGGGGAGCTCTGTTTCTAAGAAAATAAAAGAACACATGAAATCACAAGCTGAGTTTCGATCATTTTCGTGATAATTATCATGATTGTAAGTTTGTTTTTACCGATTGCAGACGTGACCACATTCAAGTATGTGAAGGGGCGATGGCCTCTCAAAATAGTCCTGTGATTTCAGCTAAAGTGAACTGCCAGACTCCATCCCATTTCCATTTTCATTTCCATTAATCTACGAGATGACGAGGTGGGATTAGAATCTGTACCTTGACAACTTAGTAGCCATCTCCATGCAAAGAGACGCAAGACATCATGCAGGTCATGCAAGTCATGCAGACATCATGCAGGTCAACATCATGCAGGTCAAGGACATCATCTACGCAGGTCAAAACTAAAGGTAATCGACTCACAGCAAATCGAAATAAAACCATTTTTTACTTAAAAGAATTGGTACTGTTTGACCACACATTATTTCCGAATACAGAAGTTACAAACGGCTTTTTCAACAGCACTGGAACAATTTTTAGTGCCTTGAGTGGCTGGCAGTAGTTACGACAAATGTGTCGGAATCGGAGAAAGTGTTGCCTGCCGCTGCAGAATATTTAGTAAAACCACTACTACTTCCTGTTAATGTGATGTGTAGTCAGAATTAACGTTTCGTGGGCCCTTGATACCGAAAAACTGATTGAAGGCCAAAAGTCTGTCTGTCCGTCCGTCTGTGGTCGTCAAAGCTTTCTGCCGATTTTCTCCAAAATTTATCTTCTTCGATTGATATAAAG